CACTTACTTAATGCTCGTCTAAAAGCAATAAGGCTTAAGAGATCGCGGGTGTTGTTTAAGCGGTACGCGAAAAACCGACACCGTAATATCCTCTTTACGGACGAAAAATTTTTCGATATTGAAGAGAAGTACAATAAACAGAATTATACAGTGTACGCTAGGAGTTCTGAAGAAGCTGAAAATAAAGTTCCAAGGGTGCAACATGGACATCATCCATCATCAGTAATGGTTTGGTTGGGAGTGTCCAATTACGGGCTAACTGAGGTTAATTTTTTCGAAAAGGGGGTCAAAACCAGTGCTACAGTGTACCAAGAGACGGTTTTGTATCGCCTTGTCAAAGACATGTCCAGCACCCTATTTGCGGGACATCACTTCGTGTTCCAGCAGGACTCTGCGTCTGCATACAAAGCCAAGACCACTAAAGCCTGGTTTGAGCGTCAAAACATCGTCTTAATTAGACATGAGGATTGGCCTTCCTCCAGTCCGGACCTTAATCCTTTGGACCAGAAATTATGACAGGGCTTAGAGAGGAAGGTCTGTGATAAACCTCATGAAAATTTGGAGAATCTGAAGTCATCTTTAAAAAACCAGTGACTGAAATCGACACGAATATGGTGCGTGCTGCGATAGACTACTGGCCGCGACGCTTAAGGGCCTGTATTAAAAATGAGGGAGGTTATTTCGAATATTTTTATGCTTTTTTTATTCCTTAATTAATGTACTAAGAATTGATATATCACTCATTACAAACTGATCAGTACTTTTGTTTTTATCATTATTTTCATTTATGACAGAACTTTGGGACCGACTACGTATATATAATAATTCTACTGACGTGTGTATGACACTGAACCCCTCTTACACGGCTGGACCGATTGGAATGATTTTTTTGTATGCGTTTGGGTGGCGCCTTGCATGGTTTAGATTCATAAATTAGCCCGGCAGATAGCGCTGCAGTTGGTATTTTCATACTTTGTTTAATATCCTAATCACTTGTAATATCGTGCAGGACAACGTCTGTGGGGTCCGCTAGTAATTATAATATAGAATAATTTTATGACAATTAAAAGCTGCGTTAAATCCTTTTCAATGTATCGTATAACAAACAATTATTAACCGTATTTAACAATTATTAAAACTTTAAACTAGATCTGAAATCTCTAATGTTGGTTTTATATATTTATTTATAATACATCAGAATAGCGGTTACCAGAAAGTTCTATTCAGTAAGGAAATGGTAAAATCTATTATATTGTTTTAGTTTTTTTTAATACTTTCTTAAACTTCGAGTCCGACTTCTCCTTTGTTACATATGGTCAATTGTTTTGTACGGCTGTGAAGCTTGAACAATAAAGATGTTGTGTTATCGTCGCATGCTTCATATTGGCTGGATTGAAAAAAACTTGAACATTCGCCATGACCGCTACTACCTCCTTCAATTAATTATAATGGTGAAAACCCGGGGTAAATGGCGTGATGGTAGAAGGAATTAATCATGGCTTTTTAATGTTAGGGAGTGGATGGGTATTGCGACTGCGGAAGAGTAGCTGCATCTGGCACACGCTTTACGAGACTGATGGCCTATTTCTAGTAATGGAGCGGGGCACCATAAGTAGAAGAACAGTTTCTTTCTTCTTTTTATATAAAAATAATACTTTTTTTTATTAAATGGCGTAATTGATATAAACCACTATTAAATGAATACAAAGTAGTGTAGTGTGATTAGCTTCCGCACTTAGACGCCCATTTGGTAAGTCAGCCTAGCTCCTTCCAGAAGCTTAGAACTTTATTGGGCACTTCGCAGAAGACAAAGTTTAATTCAAACGACTGCATTAGAACAAAACCATGATTTTATAATAAGGAATAAATGACAACCCTATTTTCATATTGTATAAATATCGCCGAATTCAATCGCTCTTTACCGTATTGAAATTTGAAATACGTTTCTGAATTTCAAATCTAACTCAGAGCTTAATTCATATGAGATAAACACATGTGTAAGCATTTAAATGTATTTGTTATATCAATAAACCTAATGAAACGCAACAAAATAAATAATTGTTCTTTAAAGCAATTAGAGAGGCCAAATCTTTATTACAACTGACTAATTATAAACTATATTAGACTATTAAGTAAGAAGTATGTGCATATATATAACACTAATAACCCGATGCGACGGCTGTCTGACACAACCAGAGAAATAAGGCTATAAGGGCAAGGAAGGGCATCCAAGGCAAGGAAGTCCAAGAACTTAGCTACCGCTGAGAAAATTTTCTTAGTAAAATTTTACTGACGTGATGATTTCTATAAAGAAAGAGCCTTGTCTTTTTACCGTTTGACCAACCCTGAGATCGTAGGAACCCCGGCTGTGCACCAATAGAATTTCTGTCTATGTACAATTAAATATTCGCTCGTACGGTGAAGAGGGACATCGTAAGAAAAGGCTGATCACCTGCTTATCTATAAAATAAAAATTAATTAATTAATTTTATTATTATTAATTTCTTTAATAAAATCTTTAATCTGCATTCAGACATGCTAGGCCATCACTGTAATAATTCCAAACGATTATTTACATAACACCTTTATCTTAATTTACTTTTTGAGTAATGTTTTATTTGACAGTCATTAAAATGTACTACGTGCTACACCATTAATAAGGGCCGCAGGTTTTTCACTTGCTTTTCTCTTATTTCTCGTTGTTTATATTTAAAAGTTTTTAGATATGTTTTGTTCCCCTAATAACTATTTGTAGGTATATTATTTAGTTAGACATTTTTAGTCATTTCATAGAATGGAATGTTGAATTTCCACTTGTAATTTACATCCTCGGCGTAGGATATACGTGTTACATACATCCTAAACCTCACAGTCTATTTTCTTAAGTAGCATACTCACTGCTTGCCTTAGAAATTCGACCCTTCATATACGGTTTAAGCACTGGCCCGGTACCGCACAACCCTCCCAAAGGCACGTAACAAATTTAAATTTAAAGAAATAAACTTGCACTCCGACCGGGAATCGAACCCGATACCCCTCACCTAGTGGACACTTAATCGGTCCTATTAAGGCTAGGCTATGATACCCTTAGATATATACATTACATAGAAAACCGTAAGTTAACCGGTTCCACTTTTAAGGTAGTTCTGAATGAGCGCACCAAGAAATATGATTTTTAAATATACTATGGCCACTATTGAAAATTGTTAAAATAAACATGATAATAATATTATATATATTTATTATATTTCATAAAAAAATACCATTCATACTTAGAAAAACCATCAATGCTTTTTGTAATGGAATAAAAAAATTAAAATATTTAGCGACAATTGGATGTAGTTCTCTGAATATCCGTAGCGTTGATATCGCAATTTAATTTGAATTTTTGGATATCATTGAGATCGGGATGGCTGACAGTATCGCTATTAAAAGTTCCTTAATCACAGGAGAAGGTAGGACGAGAAACAGTCAAGAAACCCATTTTAATCGCTAAAAATTTTGTTTTCTAAGATGCTTTGCTACACAACACAAACACAACGTTCGAGGCTATTTTAAAATTTAACCTTTGCCGAAAATGTAAGCTGAATTCGCTTCAATCGCTTGATTGGCAGCCGCTAATGACATTGCAGCTGAAATTGTAACGAACCTTCGAAATGTTTCAGATAACTCTGGACTGTGTATACGAGTTTCATCAGATGACTATTTAGGGTTTAATCATCTTGATTGTTTAATATAGACGCATTAAGCGATGAAGATTTGTTTATTGTAATTAAAATAATAAATTAGATTACATACTAAACACAAAATACCAAAAGACCAATTAAGAATGTTAAATTAATGAAAGTGAATTATTTACTCAACGACTGTTGACTCTTAACATTCTTCTCTCAGTACAGCCGACAAATTAAAAACTATGGTAATTACTATATATTATTCTACATTATAAACTAATTTATAATGTAGAATTAAGGACATTGTATTAGAGGAAATATGAAATTCTTTAAGAAAATATAAGCAACTTCAAAAATCTCTATAAAGAAGCCGAATAATTTGTAATCAAAAAAAAATCAGTGGCGCTACAACCTCATTAGGTCTTGGCCTCAGATTTCTGAATCTGTTTCATGAACATTTTTTAATCTAATGGGCAAGTAGGAGATCAGCCTCCAGTGCCTGACACACGCCGTCGACTTTTAGGGTCTAAAGCCGGGTCCAGACGAGTGTAACGTGTAATGTAATCCACCGTGTAATGTAACACGAATTCTACGTGTGGACGGCACTACGAGCATTACATGTAACGCTCGCGCGGCGCTCGGGGTTGATCCATCGGCTGTCGGTTTTTCGCGCGAACACAAAGACGCTCGCAGTGCTCGTTTGGACGGCGTTCGTGACGGTTGTGTCGTATGTACGTTCATGATGTGGAGTGACGAACAATCGCTTGAACTTATTAGTTTGTATCAAGAAAAACCTGTTATTTGGGATCCAAAAAACCCGCAATACTATAAAAAAAATCTGAAATACGATGCTTGGAGTGATATTGCTCATTCATTGGAAAGAGATGTAGAAGAATGCAAAAACAAAATGATTAGTTTGCTTGCTTCACATCGAAGAGAAAAAGGAAAAGTAAAGAAGAGCCATAGTTCCGGAAAAGGTATGTTTTATTATAAATTTCTGTTGCTTTACATATTACACACTTTTATTTATTAATTTAGTTTTTACTTAGGTATTATCACTTACTTGCTATTAGTACAATTATTACTTCTATTGTATACCCACTATATTACTATGTTCTACTATATTTTACTATACATATATGTACTATATTCTATTGTATTGTTTATTTATTGTAATTTATTTTACAGGTGGGGATGAAACGTACAAAAGTACATGGTTTGCTTACGAGGCGCTGGCATTTTTAGGAGATCGAAATAATCCAAGGAAACGACGCAACACAGAGGTAACTGCATTGAACTAGTTTCCTTCGACTTGATAAAAAAAACTTAACAATATGTATTCTGCCAAGAAACTGTACCCTCGTTCATAAAATAGTCATTAAACTCATCCCTAATTTGTTTTGCCGTTGAGACAGCTCTTCTAGGTACATTATTCAATGGAAGTAAAGATGACATTTCACAATCTCTCCGCCAACTACCTTCACATAATCTTCCGTTTTGGTCGCTGTCAAGTGAGCCAGGGGGTGCATACAAGTTTTTAGATGAATCCGTGTTTCTCAAAAAATTATGCAAGTGTGCAATAGCCATGACTATAGTCTCCACGGTTTTGGGCTGAAGGAGCATAGGTTTTCGTAGAACTCTGAACACAGATGCTGTGATACCAAATACATTTTCTACAATCTTGCGAGCTCTGCTTAACCGGTAATTAAAAATTCTTCGCGGCGATCCCTTGGGGTATTCTCCTGGATAGGGTTTCATTATATTGTTTTGTAAAGGGAAGGCAGAGTCTCCTACAAAAACATATGGTACTACTTTGTTTCTACCTTGCAGTGCTTCAGGTGCAGGCAATCTTAACGAATTATTTTCTAGTTTTTTTATATAATTCAGTTTCTTTAAAAATTCCACCATCTGAAATGCGGCCTTGACATCCGACATCCAGAAATTTATAATTATATTCCGCGTCTACTAAAGCAAACATCACTATACTGAAATTCGATTTGTAGTAACGATATTCTGTGCCACTATGTACCGGAGCCTCGAGAATGACATGTTTACCGTCCATGGCTCCGGCAGAATGCGGAAAATTCCACAATTCATCAAATCTGTTTGAGATCTGGATCCATTCTGACCCTGTTTTTGGCAGCTGAAACAATGAATTTCTTTTTAATTACAGATTACAAATGAACCGGAACAGAGTGCATCTACAAGTGTAGAAAATGATAACAGTTCAGAATTTATATCACCAACTGGTCAGGCCCCCAAAAAAAAGAAATCAGACGAAAATAAAAAAATGGGTATGCTTTCGGAGGCTCTTGGCCTGCTTAAGAGTGCTGCTTCTAGTCCTACTCCTGAACCCCGAAACAATAATCCAAACAATTTTGACAGTGAAACCATTTTCTTTTAAAATTTTATATGCAGCAAGATGCAACAATATAACAGAAGTACTAAAAATGCCGTGCAGCGAGCAATAATGGATGTAATATTCAAAGCCGATGAAGGATGCACTAACTTTTCTCAACATTATTATCCATCGGCATTCAATTACAGTTGGTATTCAACAGGTCAGAATCAGACAAGTTGCTCTACTGCTCCATATGCTTCACCTGTTCCCTCAGAATTATCTCAAACTTCATATGAAGATGTAGATTTTGTGAATGACCTGATTTGAAAAGAATAAATTTTGTACTACATGATTTGAAGATACAATTTGATTTAACTTTCTAATTTTAATTTTGCTTACCCTACTTAATACAATAGCTTAATTTGTTATTTTAATAAATAAATAAAAATATGTAAAACTCACCTTAATGTTTTCTTTCAATGATTTTATAATCGCTTCACAAACTTCTGGTACAATGCAAGACATTGACTGTTTTGAAATTCTGAAGGTGTATTGAAGGCTTGTAAATGAATCTCCTGTTGCCAAAAACTTAGTGTTAGAGCCAGTCTATCTTGCGGCGAAATTGCAGATCTCATTATAGTGTCTTGTCTTGATATTTTAGGCGCAATGATTGTTAACAAATATTCGAAGTCAGTAGGCGACATCCGGGTAAAGTTTTTATATTGACCGCTTATATGTTGAGATTTTAGTTCCACAAGTAAAGAAGATCTTCTTTTATACAAATTAGTTTTCCACCATCGACGCTTCCGACTTTTGCGGTCTTCAGTTAGTAAATACATGAAAATAAAAGCCGCACCAGCTATCACGACCTTCCTATTCGGCATGTTCGTAGCAACTGAGTGGAAACAGCTTTTGAAATATTTTCGCGTTCACAATTCGCTTTGAGTTCATGTGCCGTCCACACTGTTGATGCTAAATTACACGTAATCTTACATTACACGTTACACTCGTCTGGACCCGGCTTAAGACCATTCGAGCGAATGTTAAATGCGCACATAGAAAGAAAATCCATTGGTGCACAGCCGGGGATCGAACCTACGACCTCAGGGATGAGAGTCGCACGCTGACGTTACTAGGCCAACACTGCTCCTATATATAATTTGTAATCATGAGTCAACAAATAATAATACACGTCAATAAAACAAACATCTTTTTTTAAGTCAGTTAAAATGGCAACAATCGACCATACACATAATTTGAAAGCATTTTTATAACTAATTTATTTCTTGCGAAGTGCACTTCAAACTTTAAGCCAATTTTGCAAGAAACATCGTTCGAAGTACATACTAAAGTAAACGTATGTAGAAATGTAGGTTTCAGTAAATTTGTACTACCGCATTGAACTAAAGAATACTTGATGAGAACCAGAGCAAAGGCTCACAATCGTAAAGTGCTAGTGCCAGAATTTGTAAGTGAAAATAGGCTAGATATATATGAATTACTAATAATGTTCTTGTGATTTTATACTTCCGTAACTTGTATAGTGTAAGCAAGGTAAAAGATTAAACTGGAGACATTTGTTATTACTTACAAATTTAAATGGTCACAACAATATTTTGTATCATTTATGCTTAGCCTAATGGTTTCAACGTGCGACACATCCCTGGGTTCCTAGGTACGATGCCGGCTGTGCACCAATGGACTTTTTGTCTTTGTCTTTTTAACACTCGCTGTACGGTGAAGATTGTGAGGAAACTAGCATGTCTTAGACCCAAAAAGTTGACGATGTGTAGCAGTCACAGAAGGTTGAACATATACAGAAATCTGAGGCCTAGACCTAAAAAGTTATAGCGCCATTGATCTGAATCATTTATGTGATATTGTATATTTTGTATGTAGTTAGTTTTGTGTCGGTCGTAATTTATTATTTGAAATTGATGATTAGGTAACATTTTATAAATATCAGGCTAAAATCTGATTCAAATATTTTTATATTTATATATTATTAGTATTGGCGGAAGAAGAGACAGAGGCTAAGACAAATTTTGAGCCACAGAGCCAGTGGAGTGAGTGAGTGAATTTTATTACAATTGAGTGACTCTCACCGTCAACAAAAGACCACAATACTAATTTTAACAGTTAAACACGTTTACTTACACGTTTTAAAAACATATTTCTATATTAATGTCATTAATGTTTTGGATTACTGATAATACAAGCCATTTACATAATAATTTATGTGTATAAAGTTTCACGTATTACCGCTACAATTATCTTGCAAAATACATGCAATTATATTAATTATGCCGTGTCAACATACATAACGATATTTACTTCATTATGTGTATATGCAAGACAAACATAGTAATTGCTAATATAATCAGTGATTTAAGCAGTAATGCTCGAAACTGGGCCGCTACAGATTTAATCCACTCCCTAAACAGGCCTAACATTGTACAGTAAATACTACGATTTGATGGAATTACGTACTTTGATACTATTGGTGTTCTATTACTCATTAAATTTTAATTGGATTTATATTATAATCACTATATCTCTCCACTATGAAGTGTGTAATTAGAAAACTTTTACCTTATACAGTTAAAGGATGTATTTTTGCTTAGAAATAACAGTTATATAGAAATCTGAAGGCAAGGCAGTGCACCCGCCAAGAAGAGCAAAAATTCAACACGTACCATCCTTTACTCGAAGCAGTTCAGGCCATTTTAGCCCCCAATAACTTCGGTGTGGATATAATTAGAACCCTGATTTGATTAATTTCAGTTACCAAGTAGGCTATGTATAAACTCGGTATATTTCAATTTTTATTCAATTCTAACCAGTACTTTAGGAATTATAACTATAGTGGCATATCTTTGTCACTAATTGACAGAGCGATCATCAAAACGCACTTAAAAATCTAAGTTAATGTTAATGTGTTTCCATGCGATGGGTAAGTCAATGTATTTATTCAAACATAAAAGACTTGCAGTATTGATATGGGTCAGTATAAGATGTTTTTAGGTTAGTTAATTAAGTAATTACTTAAGACAGAAGGTCCCTAAAGATTGAATAAGTTAACCTACTTGGTATTACATGGATCTCACAACTTTTTACTTTTTTACAAGTTATGTTTTTCATGACATTTCATTTACAACAAATGTAAAAGCAGTGTGATCTGTGGCTAGGAACTCTCAACCGTTCCGCTAGTGTGTTTCTGAATCTTTCGATGTGTGTGTACAAAACTCTCCTGAATTTTGTTTGAATGCCTCTTTATTGAGAAATAAATATAGCGTCGCATGGTCGCATGTTATAACTTAAGTAAAATGTATTATTTACCCATATCCAATACGAAACCGTTGGGGAGAGGGTTAATATCGAGCAAGGTCATATAATATTTGCAGTTGCCAATACATCTGAAGGCTTGATATGGGTGGGTAAACAAACGCACATGAAACGAACTAATTATAGAAGTTGCGTTATATTCTGAACGGATTTTATTCGAATGCCATTTGGGCATTATGATATGAGGGAGAGGGTGATATATATTACTGTTCATTTAGAATTCTGAATTACCCTGCTGGTAGTAGAACTAATGAATCCTGGCGATTTCCTTACATAGTGATACCATTTTATACATACTACATATATAGTAATTGTGATATCCAATTTATCGAAATAACGAGGTTTAACATTTAGATAACTGCTTAAGCAATTATGAAAATGTTTGTAGCCATATCGCAATTTACTAGGAGGTAAAATTTTCGGACTCTCATGTTTAATGATTGACCGTTGTGATATTGCTTTTACTCGTAACATAGCAACGGTCGATATACGTGAGTTTTGGCTCGCAGATGTGTTGTTTAATTTTAAAATTTAAATTCTAATTCTAGTGAGTCGACTAAAACGTCACCATATTCTAGAGCTAGAAGACGGCAATAGCTCTAGACAGAAGATGAGTAGATGCTTCCAATGGGAAGTCACTCTGTATGACAGCACCACAGAAAAAATTCGCTCATAGCCTTAGGGCTGATTGCAAACACCCGCAGAAAAAAAAGCTAGTAATGTCGTGGGCAGGAAAATTATATAAACGCATGGTATCTGAAATACAAGAGGGTTTGCTAATTAAATTACGAGATGGCTCGACGAATTCAGCGTCTTAACTTTTCAACGAATGCTAATAAACTTGTTTTAATTCTCAGTCTCGCATTCAAACACACTTTTTTTGTATATATTAAGTCAGATTTAAGCATCTAATAAACCCTAAAACACAGAAAAACTTGCCTCTTCTTAACAAGTTGTATCAATTTCCCTGTACACACTACACACCCATTAGTTAATTAACTTAAGTATGATTAAATTATTCCGCTTTAAAAGAGATAGCTCAGTACATAAGTTGTAATGAATAGAATCGGGCGCAAGGACAAGTGCTAAGCTACGAAGCTCTCAAAGCCTACTTTGTACTGTAGAGGCTTGAGGTATAATTATCTTAAAAATTAAATCATTACATATTCCCGACAGAGGTTTAAGAGAATATTTTTTTACTTATGGTGTATTGGTAGAAATGAGACATCGAAGTACATTAAAATAAATACACACAAAAGAGTTGCGTTTGGTTTAAATACGTTAGTATTGAGACAATTCTGAATATTAAATTTTTCATTTTCAAAGCGGCATTTTTAAAAAAGCCTACATACAACTTGAATTTAAAATAAATTTGTAAAACAAGAAGGTACAACTAAGTGGTATTTATTAATTAATTAAAAAAAAATTATATCAATTAAATTATTTTTACTTTTACGAAACATTCCTTATAAAATAAGATACCCTATTTCCATTTATTCGATTGAAAAATCAATATACGAGAATTTGTATTAGTCTGCGCAGATTTTAATTGTGATAAGATTTTGTAGTTAAATAGATCTGGTGAACGTTATAGTTAAACCTTTGACATTTAATACGACTCCTAGACATAAACCAGCTTACCTTTGAAGCGTTCAAGCTAACACAAGTACTTACAATGTTGTCATAAGATTTGTAAATATGCTTCAGTGACTTTCCTGGAATTGCAGGATCGGAGCTTAAATACCGGTGAGCTATTAACCTGTCGACGACATCAAACACGAGTGAAGATGTTAGCACAATTAAGTAGTATTTATTCGCAGTCGCATTATCAAGTGGACAATGGCACAAAGTGCAGTAGTTTTAGTTAATGTATTCTATTTCTATTCTAATGTATTCAATTTGTAACTTGCATCTTTTTCATTTCTATTTTTTTAACTAACAACTCCGTATGCGTTACACAAATCATATCGCCGGAAATTGAGCCCTGGACCTCTCAGGATACTCAGTGCCCACGGCTCCTGGGCTCAATTTCGTTAAGTTACTAGTTACCAACTAAACAAAGACGCAAGTACTGGGGTCGATTCCGGGCTAAACAATAACTGGGTAAGTAGGTACGGATGGCTGATTATTGCAGATATATATTGCCCTATTACTGGTAAAAATATCTTTATATCAAGCATAAGAAATGGTCATCAAAATTATTATTCCTTGCTTCCGTCTAGCTATTTAATTTTGAGACTTCATTTGGACCGGAGTACGCATTTTCCGATTTCACTTAGTACTCTTATCTATGTTTATGGAAACATTAGGACAGAAGGACATCATTATTATCTCTCTAACGGTGGCCACAATCTAACTTTGACAAAAAAGGCTTTCATATTTGCAACCTCCTAATTTTCATGTACTTCGGAGCATGAAAGTCAGTGTAACAGCATTGAGTAGCAGATGATTCTCTAACAATTATATTAACACGAATTATGTTGAACATGAAATAAATAAAGACCGCGGATGGATGAGCCGAAATCTTTGAATATCTTTG